GAATTTAGACACCAATTCCCATCTTACAGCAGCTCCCAAACAAACCAAGTTCCACAGCCACAGTCTTCTCCAAAACAATGGACTGCTGTGGAAGCCCCTCAGCACCGTTCAAGAGAATATTAATAGTGTGGCTCTACCAGAGTTACCTTTATCTTACCTTTCAGTAACATAACAATACACTGTAGACCGGTAATTATGATACAATTCCTGTAAAATATATGAATCTTTCACAGTAACCTTATTTCTCCTTATGTGCTCTTACTCCCCTTCTTCCCTGCATCCTCAAGGTCACTCCACTCGAGGTTATGGGATCACTGCTGGCCTGTGCCATCAAACATCTGATGCTTTTCTGTCATTTCAGGTGCTCTTGATTTGGGGAATAAAGAAAATCCACTCCTTTTGAAGTAAAGATGCAAACCTTCATTCTTCTGACCAATTTTATCAATAATTGAGGAAGAATAGTGTACATATAATATCACTACTGTCAGTGTATACCATAGAAATCAAGTTTAAAAGATCTTTCTGATAGAAAATGAAAATGTCTCTGAAGAATGATTTTTAATTTTTTCACTGGATGCAGTAACTAAAAAGGAAGAAGAGAAGAGTTCGTGTAGCACAGTTGTGGGATCAATTTTTCTGGGCTAGAGGGCCTAAGTTCAAGCCCCACTTGCTTCAGAGCCATGATGGCGCAGAGGTTGCTTTACAAGTGTGAAACTTCATGTTTTGTATCTACCTCATGGACTAACCTACTCTCCATGCCTGGTTAAAAGTTGAGCTGAGGCAATCAGGTCTCATGTGGCCATCTTGGAAGTCAGAGCTGTGGAGCCTGTGATGTTAACTCGTTTGGTACAAATGGTGTGTTTAATGAGATCTGTTCGTTCTCTCACTGGAGGATTGGCTTGTGTATAAATTGAATGTGTTTAAAAACATTGCCTCATTTTGACTGTTTCTGCTTTCAGCTGAAAATGGGACCAGAGACTCTTCTAATAGAAATTCTTTTTCCCATTCTTGCAATCTTTGGTATTCCTGGTAAGTGATTAGAAGCCGCTGTGACATTTTTCTTACCTATTTTGTTTTGAATTGAATCTCTGCAATTTGAACCTATATCCCCGAATTGATCTCCTGATTTCTGCAGAGGTTTCCTTTCTGTTAATTACCATTGATTTCAGTTTGAGCACAAATAGTCCTGTCGCAGCTGGCTGGGTTGGAAACAATTGTGTTTGACGTAAATAAAGAAAACAAGAAAATAACAGAGGAGTTAAACAGATATTTTGGATCAGTCTTGACGGTGGAGGATACTTTGAACATCCCATTAATACTAAAGAATATGATGGAGGAATTAAGTCTGAACACCATCAGTAAAGAAGAATTAGACAAGCTGATGAGATTAAAGGCAAATAACGTCCCTGGCTCTGATGACTTGCATCCTAGAATCCTAAAAGAGGTAAGTACAGAGATAATATATGCATTGGCTGTAATTTACTAAATTGCTTAGATTGTGGAGAAATTCCATAGATTTGGAAAACTGCCAATGTGGCACTGTTATTTAACAAGGGAAGGAGACGAAAAGTGGATAACCCTATCTATAGTTGAAAAAGTGTTGAAGTCAATTAATAATGGTAAGATAGCAGAACATTTGGAAAATCCTAATTTCATCAAGCAGAAGTTTGCAGATGACACCAAACATTGTTGGAAATGCAGATTGTGAGAGAGATACAGTTTACCGAGAGATATTGTTAGATTAATTAATAGGCAAAACATTGGCAAATTAGGTAAAATGTGGGGAAATGTCAAGTTGTTCATTTTAGAAAGTAGAACAAAAGAAGAGAGTTGTATTTAAATGGAAGAAAACTGCAGAAAGCTGGAATACAAAGAAACTTTGGGTCTTGTAGGCGAAACTCGGAAGGGTAGGACACTGTTACAGCCAATAATTAGGAAGGCTTATGTAATGCTGGCCCCTTATTTCAAGGTGGGGGGTGGGGGGTGGCGAGTGGAATATAGGACTAGGGAAGTGTTACTGCAAATGTACAGGTGCTGGTGAGACCAGGTATAGAGTAATGTGAGCAGCTTTGGCCAAGTTATAGAAGGAAAGAAAAATGTCATAGGACGCAATTCAGAAAAAGATCATTAGAATGATCACAAGCAGGGAGAGACTGTCTTATGAACAAAAAGAAAACAGGTTGATCTCTACTCCCTGGAGCGTAGAAGAATGAGAGATGATCTCATTGAGAGCTGTGTATTCTTAAAGAGATTAAGGAGCTTAAGTGGTGAGAGGATATTTCCTGTAAGGGGAGTGTGCTTTGGCTGTTGCTGCTTTCATCTGAAATTGGGACCACAATACTTCTAATAACAATTCTCCTTCCCATAGTTGTAATCCTTGAAATTCCTGGTAAGTTGTTGAAAGCTGTTGTGACATATTTCTTTCCTGTTCTGTTTTGTAATATCCCAGGCAGCAAAGTCTCAGAATAAAGGTGTGCCAATTCAGTTTTGAGATGAATCATTCACCACCCTTTTATCAGAGGGCGGTGAATGATTGGAACAGAGTCCTCAAGTTTATTCAAGGCTGAGATAGATTCGTGATGGTGGTGACAGACATTTAAGACAACTCAAAAAGGCAAGTTTCCTTTTTGACTGAAGTTAGCCACAGAAGACGAATGTAGGAACATATGAATTAAGAGCAGGAATGGGCCTTTTTGGAGCTTTGATCCCCTTCCTCCTTTCAGTAGGATCATAGCTGATCTGAATGTGATCCAGTCTCCTGCCTTCTTTACATAGCCATCAATTCTCCTGTGTATCCGATATCTAATTCAGTATTATAGACTCAGACCCCACAACCTTCAGGGGAAGAGGATTCCACATACTAACCACTGTCTGAGAGAACAGAGATCTTCTTATCTATGTTTGAAAAGGGAAACTGCTTATTCCTAAACTGTGTTCTCTTGTTTTCATCTCTCTCATCAAGAAAAAAAAACTACCTCCTGGTGTTCTCCCTTATTTAGTCCCCACAAGATCTGAAATGTTTCATAGAGATCACCTGACATTGTTCTGGGCTCGAACGGGCACAACCTTTCTTCACCAAATAAGGCCTTAATCCCAGGAATGAGGCATGTGATTTTTCTCTGAGCTGCTTCCAAAACAATAATATTTGTTTTCTCAAAATTGGGAAACCAATTCGTACAATGTGAAAATCAATTGTATGTACGACTCCTAAAATCCCCTTCCAATTGCTTCCATGACAGAGAAAATGTGCTGCCAATTGATTGATGTAGAAGTCTAGAATTATCAGCAGCACTCCATAGTATTATGACTCACATCTTCTGAAATCCAAGACCTCATCTGGAGGCAACTCTGTTGGGCGTTTTGATACATCTCACGATCTGAATTTTCTTTTCAGCGAACCTGATGACAGTGTTGGTTCTTTCTCAAGGGAAGTGCAGCCTTTCCAAAGGAATCACTTGCTACATGACAGCCATGGTGACAGGAGATCTGATGGTCCTTGTCTTCAATGTCATTGTGAGCCAGATCATCAGGTATTATTTCCCCGGCTCGCTGCTGAGATACACACATGCCTGCCGACTCAATGCCTTCCTGCAAGGGCTGAGCCTGCAACTCTCCATCTGGTTTACCATAGCCTTCACCTTTGACCGCTTTGTAGCAATTTGCTGCCACAGATTGAAAGCAAGGTATTGCACTGAAAGAATGGCTCACGTGGTCATATCCACCTTGTGTGCACTTAACATTTTGGCCAACATTCCCCTGTCTATCCGGTACGTGCCCATTTACGTTCTGAACAATGTCCAGTGGGGCTGCCGCACCGTCAGTGGTTATCAAACTTCACCGGTCTGGGCAGCTCACCGGTGGCTCACCAACATCTCAAACACATTTCTTCCTACTCCCCTGCTGCTGTTATTGAATTCTCTCACTGCCCAGCACATTCTAGTGGCCAGCAGAGCTCGCCAGGCCTTGAAGAGCAAAACTGGTGGTGTTAGAGAGATGGGGAGAGATCCCGAGCTGAAAAGCAGGAAGACCTCTATCGTTCTGCTCTTTACCATCTCCAGCTGCTTCATGGTGCTGTCGGCGCCCATCACTGTGATCCACATCTTTATTGGCTTCACGCAGGTTGTGTTTTTCCAAGGTTCAAGCTCGCTATATTTGGCTATCAGAGCGACGTTACTGCTATTGTGCACCAGCTCCTGCACAAACACTTGTATTTACGCACTGACCCAGAGGAGATTCAGAGAGGAGATGAAGAATATAGTGAGATCTCCTTATTCCCTTCTCTGTAAGCTACGGAAATAATTTACGTTTAAAGGGGAGCTGATGGTGTAATGATAACCTCATCTGGCCGGTAATCCAGAACCCAAAGATAATATCCTGGGGGTACAGGTCCATTTTACGTTAAGGCAAATGGTGAAATTTACATTCAATAAAAACCTCACCTAATGGTGACATTGTACCCAACAGTAATTTCCAAGACAGAAATTTAATTGCCATCTAGGAACGAATGTCTTTTAGGGAAGGAATTCTGCCATCTTCACCTGGTTTGTCCTACATGTGACATCAAATCCACAGCCATGTCATTGACTCTTACCTGCCCTCTAGGAATAATTGCCAACCTAGGCAGTGACGCCCGCATCCCTGAATGAATAAAATTAAACAAAAATGTAATTTTAAATAAAGCAACTGACATTTTACAGTGTCTTTTCTTCCCAAAATTCTCGATGCAACACGTCTTAACAGTTTGGAAGTGTCCACTGGGTTGCTGAATTCCTCAAAATGATTTGAACAAGTGGGGAGGCGGAGAGGGACAGGATGTACATGCAGATATATTTCCAAATCAGGATAGTGTGCGATGTGAATGGAAAATTGCAGTATTGTTGTTCACTTGTATCCCTTATAACCCTTGTCCTCTTAAATGGTAGAGGTTGCAGGCTCGGAAGACGCTGTCCCAAGAACCTTGGTAAGTTGTTGTAGTGCATCTCATAGGTTGTACACATTGCTGCAAATAAAGGGAGTGAATTTTGAAGGTTTAAATGGACTGTCAATACATGCTGCTTTATCAGCCCGAACATGAATGTGATCCAGGTCTTGTTACAGATGAACATGAGGAGGCAGATAGAGTTTAATCTGGATAGATGCAAGGTATTGTAGTTTTGCTGACTCCCGGGCAAGAAGTAAACATTTAATGGTAGGTTTCCAAGGAGTATTTTTGAACATTGAGACTGAGGGATGCAGTCACATAATTTCTTGCAACTGGCCTCACAGGTAAACAAGATGGTGAAGAAAGCATTTGGCACGCTTGCCTTCATTGGTCAGAACAAGGAGTACAGGAGTTGGGATGTCATTTTGCAGCTACTTTTGGAGTCCTACATGGTACATTGGAAAACAGTTGTGGTTGTTGGAGGTCAGGCATCTCAGTTCGAGTAAATTACTCCAGGTGTTCCTCAGGACAGTGCTGTTGGCCAAACCATTGTTAATTATTTCATCAATGATCTTCCTTCCATCATTAGGTCATAAGAGGTGGTGACACTTACCTTTGCACAATATTCAGTACCATTCATGATTCTTCAGATACAGAAGTAGTCCATGCTCAAATGCAACAAGATCTGGACAATATCCAGTCTTGGGCTGACAAGTGGTAATTACATTTGTGTAACATAAATGCCAGGCGATGACCATCTCCAGTAAGAGAAAATCGAACTGCCATCCCTTGACATTCAATTGTATTACCATCACTGAATCCCCAGTCTCAATATCCTAGGGGTTACCATTGACCAGAAATTCAACTGGACTCAAAATATACTTACAAACACACAGTGGCTACAACAGCATGTCAGAGACTAGAAAAACTGTGGCAAGTAACTTACCTCCTATTTTCCCAAAATCAGTCCACTATCTACAAGGCACGAGTCAGGAGTGTGATTGAATATCCCCGCTTGCCTTAGTGAGTGCAGCTCCAACAATACTCAAGAAGGTCAAAGGTATCCAGGACGAAACAGCCCTCTTAATTGACATCACGTCCACAAGCATCCACTTCATCCACTGGCGCACAATAGCATCAGCGTGTACTATCACACTCTGCTGAAATTCATCAAAGATCCACAGACAACACCGTCCAAACGCATGACCTCTTGCATCTAGAAGGACAAGTACAGAAGATTCATGGTAAAATGACCACCTACAATTTCCCGTTGAAGCCACTCACCATCCTGATTGGGAAATATATCGTAGTACTTTCAGTGTTGCTGGATCAAAATCTCGGAACTCCCTCCCTAACGTCCAGAGAATGCAACAGTTTGGGCAGGCAGCTAATCATAACCTACTTCAGGGTAGTTAGGAAACGGCAATAAATTCAGGGCTAGCTATCTAGACCACCATCCCACGAAAAAAACAAAGTTCACCCTCAGAAGATACAACATTTATTCCGGCAGTCAAGGCTCAGACTATCCCTCTATATTGTACTGGGGTTCTACCCTTGTTCATTACATTGATGCCTAGGGACAGGACTTGTGACTCAGAGGCGAGCAGACTGGATTGGCTGTCACTGTATTTTATGTTCAGTAAGTATCTGAAAGGGAGGGAGAGGTTAGGGGAAAATTCAGGGCGAAAAATTAAATCATTTTATCCAGCTTCAAAGTGAAAGACAAAGCATGACAGTTTAAATATGTCGATGTTTCAAAGTGCTTCATCAGATGCAAAGTGTTTGAAAGGTTCCCACGGTGCTGCAATTTCCACAAAGCTGGAAACTATTAAAATATCCAGGATATGAGTTACCAATGACCATGCCCCATGTCAGCATGTGGAAGGAAGAACTGAAAATGATTCATCAGGGGTTTTGCAACTTGAATGGTGGTTGTGTGATGCCAACAGTGTCAGTTCAAGATCCCACAACCAGCTGAGGTTAACATGAAAGATGTTTAAACCTCAATCTGTTCCCTTGCCTAAGGTGCAGTGACCCTCAGCTGAAACTCACCACCAGTTTTGTCTCTCTAATAATGAGAGAGTGACAATATGCTGACTTTAAATAATTTCAACAGTCGTACTTCATTGTGTACTTAGTTTGATGGTATGAGTGAAAACTCTTTTGCAAGTCACACTCTATGTACTACCAAGGGACAATTTCAATCATTTTTTTTGGAAAGAACTAAAACAGCACCAAAGCTCTCAAGAATCTGATAAAAGTAGTGCAGCCAGTAAATGTGGCAAAATGGGTATATATGGCAGATGAAGTCATTTAAATTCAATAAAAATCTATCCTAATTGCACCTATTTCACCACTTCTTACAGTCGTACAGCCCGTTTGATTCACAGATATTCTTGATGTACCCGGTCTGACCTCCGGATCACTCCAGACTGCCAGCAGTGACTCCAAATGGCTTTGCAAGCCAGTCAGTACATGGGAAGTTAGGGATGGGTAATAAATCTGGGCCAGCCAGCAACTCACAGAAGAATAAAATAAATATTCCAAGAGTTTGTCTTCATTGTACTGGCATTCATTAGTTTTACCCATGTTATACGTGAATTATACTCACCCAATATTATTGCATTACCTTTGTTACATGCACCTCTCGTATCTTAATTAATATCTTTTCCAAGCTGGCACTGCTGTTTTGTGGTCTAGAAGCAGCCCTAATCAATTATTGGTGCCTGTTGTAGTTTATTACCATTCATGCTCTTCATCTTTAACCCTTTGTTGCAACACACACAGTTTTAAATATTGCTCACCCTGCAGCCATTCTGCATTATGGTAATCCAATCAAATCTATTTATTGCATGTGTGCCATCAATTCAGTTTCCATGTTGCAAATATCATGTGATCCCTCAATTTAACATTACTCCCTATTTTGATCCCATTTCATGGTTAAACGCCCTTCAAGAAAGGTGATAGAATCATAGAGTCACAGATTAAAATAGCATGCAAACAGACCCCTTGGTCCAACCCATCCACGCCGACTATAATCCCATATAAACTAGTCCCACCGACCTATATTCCTCCAAACATTTCGTTTTTCATGTAATTATTCAAATACCTTTTAAACATTGCAAATGTACCTGTATCCACATCTGCTGGAAGTTCATTCCACACACAAGATGTTGATCGTTTCTCAAAATCCCAATGTTGATCTTGAAAATGATGAAAGTCTTGAAGTTCTCGATTGAGGTATGGATTGACAAGAGTTGGCGATTCGAGCCCAGGGTTTGTAAATACATTAGATTGTCATGGCGGATTGTAGGAAGAATGTGTTTCGAAGGATTCATTGGTGAAGTCAGTGTTCAGTATAGATTCTACCAAACATTTGGACTCCAGACCTACTGAAAGCCTTGACTGTGATATGGATGACAGAATGGAATTCAACTGATGCATTCTCATGATCCACTGGGAAAGTAAGATGATACTCCAACTCTGCTATTCCTGGGTTGTCACAATGGTAAAGTTTTCATCGAATGACTAAAAAGTCCTCAATTTACTTTTCTGATATCCCCAGGTTAACAGAAAACACCAATTAGCTTGTTCTGGGGCAGAAATCTGAAAGGGAGCCCTTCAGCAAATACCTCACCAGGTACCTTGTCAAATCACTTTGCTGAAGTCACATGGTTTCTCAAAAATGTGGTTTTCACTGAATGATGAAGAACTTTTTTTTTCCTGACAATTAATATATCATGCCATCCCTACAGTGTGGCAGCAGGACATTTGAGTGTACACCAACCCTCTGAAGAGCATCTTATCCTAGACAATATGGGCAATTTAGCAGAGCCAATCCACCTCATCTGCACTGTAGGCGGAAGCTGGGATGCCAGAAGGAAATCCATGCAGACACTGGGGGAATGTGTAAACTCCACACAGACAATCGCCTGAGGCTGGAATTGAACCCAGGCCCCTGGCGCTCTGAGGCAACAGTCCCAACCACTGAGCCACCATGCCACTTCTCAGAATGAAAGCTAAAACTCAATGTGCCCAAATATTAGTATTGCTTTATAAACATTAATCACAAAACAAGTCCACATCTTGATATGAAGCAGTTTGTTTCAACGTTCATCCAACACGTGTCCAGAACTGCATGAATTCACTTCAAATGCCTTCAATCTATCGCCGTGGACTGTTTGCTCGTAACTGGTGGAGGATAATCATAATTTCGTAAACGTTCCGATCATGCTGTAAAACATGCCTGTGCGTGGTGTACAAATGCAAGATACATCCTTATAAATGAAATATATAATTTGTTGCTTCAAATAACAGGCTCGTTCCTTTCTTCCTTCATTTGTTCATTCGTTTGTTCCTTCGTTCGTCTCCCCCTTTC